GTATATTCTAGTTTTTATGCAAATTATACAAACATTTTGTAGAATTATTGTTTGTAACACCTGTAATTTTAGACAACAGTCGAGGAACAGAAGAAAGCGATTGAGGGATCAACGACCTAGTGGCCGGCCAGGCGACTCGAGGAGTTGAGCTTGTTATTTTGGTTATCCATAAGTGACGATTACATAATATTGGTTTGTGGCTTACTTATGTGTTTTGTCACAACAAATGGTAAATCGGGTCTCTCCCGTCATCTTCGGATGTTTTATGCCCTTCCAAGGGTAAGCGTTAGTTAATTTTATAAATAACTTGATTAAAGCTTTGTTTTCCGTTTTAATGTTTTATAACTTTGTTCTTGGTCATGCGAGTAATGGGGTTTGGTTGCATATAAGCGAGTGTTTTGATTTAAGGGGTTCTATCATGATAATGGTGGTTTGGGGAAAGATGTCGTTTACATTCTAAAATACATTTCGTATTTGAAATCATGATTTAAATACCAATCCCCTTTTACGATTTTATATAACTAATGAAAATTGTTTGAACTCCCTAGGCGTTAAGTCTAACATTTTTATTTGTCGGCATGTGCATCAGGTCCTTGTTGAGGTTTGGTACTAGCAACATCATGACAAAGTGAGTGCTAGTGAGAGGCACGACAAAGTTCAAGATATTCGTTGCCGTCTTCCGCATTTGGAGACAGCGACAGTTATATGGTTATAGTAGCACCGGACCTTAATTTAGTCTTTATCTAAGGCTCGGTCTATCATTTATTTATGTTGATTTTAGATTTGATATTCGATATCATTCATGTATTGACTAATAGAAAAAAAAATTACTCTTTATTTGTTGTATTAATGGAATTTTTAAATTAGTCGCTCTTGCCAATTTTGAGGGTGTTACGTTGTATTTGTTTTTTGATAATCAAATATATTGTATAATAATATAAAAAAAATGATGTGATTAATAATCATTGTAAATAATTAATGTTAATGTATAATTAAAATTAAGTAATAGTTTTCAATTAATATTTATTAATATTAGTAATAATTTATATTTATTAATAATTAATAATTATTTATAATTAATAGTAATAAATAATAATTAATATTAATGAGGCTATGATTGGAAAAAAAATGTGACAATAAGCTCTCAAAAAACAGTACTCTAAATAGCGTTTCAATAAGTTAGTTTATGTCCATCTAAACATGTACGTAAAAATAGGTTAGATTATATTAGCGAAACAATACCTTAAAAATGATAGGTAATAATAACCTTCTATAATATTTTTGAATTTGTTGTTGGTGTATAAAACTTGAGGTAATTTTTAACAAGTGTTAAAAACTTAGGTGTTGTTTACCAAACGCTTACTTGAGTAAGTGCTTACCAAGTCAATTTACTTTACCGGATGAATACGGCAAAGACTAATAATTTTACCCGGTAATAGCGAAAACAAGAATTGAGATTACCCGGTAAGTGAGGACAAAGACTCTTACAATAGTTAGCGCTTACCGGGATAAATTGTTGCATACGATACGTTTTAACCGAATATGATTGTTTGCGGAAAAGATAAGATACAAAACTTATTTAAACAATCAAAGAAACACACAAGATACAGAAAGCATGAAAGAAAAGACTTGCTAAAAGAAATAGGTTAAGAAGGTCTTGTGCTATTCACTTGGTTAGAGTGGTTGAGGGAGAGAAGACAACTGAGAAGAAAGAACTTCTCGGTTATTTATACTCATTGCATTAAGTGCAATTCAGAAGGTACAAAAGCACATGACAAGCTTCAAGAGGTGAGCTTGTCCTTTGTTGCAGATATACATGCTTTAGCCGAATATGATCAATGTCTTTCACAAAGTATGCAATCACGTTTGGAAACAGTAGAATGACTCTGTACAGTACTTTACTTTGAGAGGTATGAGTTTGTTCTTTGTGTGTAGAATGACAAGACAAAAACTAATCTTGTTCAATAAGATTCATTTTATCGTTGACACTGAAATAACATTGGGGTTTCTTCAGTGTTCGCCGAATCTTGAGTAGATTTCACACTTGTGTAGATGAGCTTGTTATCACTGAAAACCACATCATATCACGAACTTGCTTGTCTCTGTCTAGAGTTTTATCTTCGATATCGCTAAAGGTTATGTGGTGTGAGTTTATCTCCAAATACAAACATGATATACAAAAGTAACTAAGAATAATAACATCATCATAAATCATTATA